AGAAGACTTCTTTCCCTACTCTGCTGGAAGCTGACATAACAGTTCTTATTTCAGGGACTGAGCGTAGCCCTTCACTGTGTCTTCTCCTAAAAGATCACTATTTTTTGAGGGAGACCGTGTGGGTTACCTATTTTCCCCCTTTCTTGCTTGGGAACAGGACTTCCCTCTGTTTGATTCTGAATTGGGAGGCTTGTGCTTGGGAGTGGCCCCAGCCCAGCTCCAGGTCCAGCCCCAAGCCCAAGAAAGGAACTTTGACTGGTTCGAGCTAATTGCAACAACTCCATTCCCCTAACTAGGTATTGGTTTAGAATTGGGTTGTTGTTGTTGTTGTTACTAAGTGCTGTCGAGTCGGTTCTGACCCACAGCGACCCTGAACAGGGTTTCCAAGGCTGTAAATCTTTACGGGAGCAGAACGCCTCATCTTTCTCCCATGGAGCAGCTGGTAGTTTCAAACTGCTGACCTTGTGGTTCGCAGCCCGATTTGTAGCAACTATGCTACCAGAGTGCCTTTAGAATTGGATACATGAATGCAATTTGAGCAAATGGAATGTGAGGAGCTTTCTTATTTCATGTTCCCTTCCTGAGTCAAGGACAGAGGGTCAAGTTTTATTTCATAAGTAGAGGTGAGGGCAAGGGGGCTGTGAACGGAAGCTGGGGAAGGGGACGTGCCAACTCCTATGACTTCCAATCACAAAAGGTGAAAAGAGTCCAGGAGAAATGATGGTCAGACCCAGAGGGGCCCTACCCAGGGCAGCTATGAAAACATGCCTACCACTGTGTCCTACCCCATTCAGGTTGAATCTGATTCTTATGGGTGGGTTTAAATAGGTGTGAGTTAGCATTCTCACTCTGGTCCCTCTGAGGCATGGGAAGCAGTGAATTAAGAGATGCCTAGCAAAGTGATACTAGAATTCCTTTCTTGACACCTTGAAGAGAACAAACAGATTTACCTTCTTTTCCTAGGATATTTGGAAGGGAATTGTATGAGGAAGGAACATGCCTTGACTAGAAACCTTCTAGGAGGCGCACATTCAGAACAGACCCTGAGTGAGGAGACTACCAGGCTTGGCTCTTCTGCTGGCAAACTGCCAACTGGCTCTCAGCCTCCACCGTGGTTCATGTGGAAACTAGGGCCCTTCTCACTGTCTCCCCTGGCCAGCCAGTTATGAAGGGACACAAACTCATCGTTCAAACGCTTTTCTTTGAAACGCACTAGGGAAATTGAGAAATTGCTATTCCTTTTGCTACTTTTCTTTCACAGCTCCTGGTTGACTTGCATGGTTCACCTGGAAGGCAATGACAAAGAGAGAGAGACAAAGGAGACAGAAACAGACAAACACTCAGAAAAAATAGAGAGAAAAAAACTGAGACACATGCTTCCTTTCACTGAGTCAAGAAATATTTATTAGAACCTACTACGTTTTCTATGATGAAAAACGTGGCATCAGGATTGGAGGAAGACTCATAACAACCTACCATATGCAGATGATACAACCTTGCTTGCTGAAAGTGAAGAAGACTTAAAACATTTACTGATGAAGCAAAAATCCTCACCATTGGACCAATAAACAACATTCTTATCAATGGAGAAAAGATTGAAGTTGTCAAGGATTTCATTCTTCTTGGATCAACTATCAACACTCACGGAAGCAGCAATCAAGAAATCAAACGACGTATTGCATTAGGCAAATCTGCTGCAGAAGACCTTTTTAAAGTGTTGAAGAGCAAAGATGTCAGCTTGAGGACTAAGGTGCACCTGACCCCAGCCATGGTATTTTCAATAACCTCATATGTATATGAAAGCTGGACAGTGAATAAGGAAGACAGTAGAAGAATTGATGCCTTTGAGTTATGGTGTTGGAGGAGAATATTGAAAGTGCCATGGACTGCCAAAAGAACCAATAGATCTGTTTTGGAAGAAGTGCAGCCAGAGTGCTCCTTAGAGGCCAAGATGCCCAAACATCATCCCTCACAATACGGACATATTGTCTGGAGGAATCAGTCACTGGAGAAGGATATCATGTTTGGTAAGATGGCGGGTCAGAGAAAAAGAGGAAGACCCCCAGTGAGAGGGATTGGCCAAGTGGCAGCATCGATGGACTCAAGTGTGGCAACAATAGTGAGGTTGGCCCAGGATTGGGCAGTGTTTCATTCTGCTGTGCATAAGGTCTCTATGGGTCGGTACCGACTCGATGGCACCTAACAACAACAACTATGTGCCACCCACACCCCTAATCAAACACACCATGAGACCCTGTTGTGGTTGTTCTTAGGTGCTACTGAGTTGGTTCTGACTTATAGTGATCATATGCACAACGGAACGAAACACTGCCCAGTACTGTACCAACCTCACAATTGCTAAGCTTGAGTCCACTGTTGCTGCCTCTATTCCAATCCATCTTACTGGGGGTCTTCCTCTTTTTTGTGGACTCTCCACCTTACTTAGCATGATGTCCTTTTGTAGGGACTGGTCCCTCCTGATAACATGTTCAAAGTATGAGAGACGACGACTCGCCATTCTTGCTTCTAAGGAATATTCTGGCTGTACTTCTTCCAACACAGATTTATTTGTTCTGGCAGCCAACAGCATAGTTCAAATGGATTGATTATTCTATGGTCTTCCTTATCCATGAGACCCTTTGTTGTTGTTGTTAAGTGCCGTTGAGTTGGTTCTGACTCAAAGAGACTCTGTATAGGGTTTCTGAGGAATGGCTGGTGAGTTTGAACTGCCGACCATTTACAGTCCAGTGCTTATCCTCTAGTGCCACACCAGGACTCCCCAAAAGACACTGTTGTTATTAAGTGCTGTTGAGCCAGTTCTGATTCATAATAATTCTGTATAGGGTTTCCGAGGAGTGGCTGATGGGTTTGAACTACCATCTTAAAGTTCAAACCAACCTCGCCTTCACCTGGACTCCTCTCAAAGCCCATCGGACTCCTTTGCAGGGGATTAGGGGTTGCTATTCCTGCTCTGACCAGTAGGTGTCATCAAGTCAGAAGGAAAGCTAAAATACTACAGGTCTTCAAGCTGCTTATGAAGATAAATTCTATTTAATCAGTTATCAGAGTGCCTTTGTGCGCAGGGCACCATTTGAGGGTACACAAGGGTGATAAGCTCACAACCTCTGCCCTCATGGAATTCACTGTGCCATCGGGAACCTGGGTCTTAAGTCACAAAAACAAGGCAGAATGCAGTAAGTACATCGAGAGAGATTTAAAGAACGACTGTGCAGATCGTAGCACATGAAACTTTAGAGAAGACATTCTCATTGTCTCGTGTTACATCAGAGGAAAAAGGTTCAGAGAGGGGAGGTTACTGATCTGGAGTTACATAGCAATTAGAGATTCCAGACCCTCTGCCTCCTAAATCAATAAAAAAAACTGTTGCCACATTGATTCTGACTCATTGTCACCCTAAAGGGCAGAAGAATGCTGCCCCATAGGGTTTCTTAGTGCTATGGGTCTTCCTAGGGTTTCTGGATGGAAGCACACTGCCACATCTGGTGGGCTTGAACTGCTGACTTTGGTTAGCAGCCAAGCACTTAAACAGTGTGCCACTAGGACTCCTCTGACTCCCAGTACAGTGTTTTTTCACCCTTCTGCCTCAATCATTGGAATTGCCTGGTGTGGTGCTGTAGGAATAACATGGGACTGCTAATCACAAATTTGGCGGTTTATTGCTCAATAATGTCATTAATCTGACAGGTGATACTGGCACAGGACCCAGTTTGGGTGAGAAAACAAACAAAAACAGTATTGAATGGATTAAATTTGAGGGGCATTGTTTTGGAGATGTTTAGATATGGAGCCAAGAGATATGTCTGGGTAAGAGATTGAGATCTGTAAAACAAAAGTTTTTTCAGGTTAGCTGGGAGTCTCTTCCTTTGTTTAAAGCCTGTTGCTGTTAATCTGGGCTCTTGGAAACCCCATGTGTTTCAGAGTAGAACTGTGCCCCAGAGGGTTTTTAAGGGCTGTGATTGCAAGGAAGTAGATTGTTAACCCTTTATTTTGTGGTGCCTCTGGCTGTTAGGAGCTCTGGTAGCATAGTGGTTACCAGGCAGGCTGCTATCCACCAGGTCAGCAACTCAAAACTACCAACTGTTCCACAGGACAAAGATGAGGCTTTCTGCTTCTGTAAAGATCTGCAGCCTCAGAAACCCTATGCAGGGCCATATAGTCAGAACCAACTCCACGGCACACCACCACCACCACTGGCTGGATTAAAATTGCCAGCTTTTCAGTTAGTAGCTGAATGTAAACCGCATGTTCCACGAATGGTCCTTTTGTCAGCAGGTATAAAGTGAGAAATTGATCCTTTTGAATATTTTTTCTTGTCTCTATCATCATTCAAGTATGTTCAGGGAGGGCAAAGAGTGAGGGCCCACTCTTATTCACACTTGTTCCCCACATCACGAGTAAATACTTATCAAATAAATATATGAGTGACTGACTCATTTTTACCCTGAGTCCTGAGTCAGCCACTGTTGTGGACCATACATCAAAACTTAAGTACATTTCTCAGACTTGCTAAGGTTATCTAACATTCTGGCAACACTATAGAAGCATGGTTTTGGAGTCAGAAATTACACTTTTAACATCTGAAAGCGAGAAGTAAGATGCATCATCTCTTACAACGCCCTTGTTTTACCAGTGATTAACTTTCCAAGACCGGTCAGGCCACCTGGGTGTAGAAGAGTCTTGGTAGCCACTGGGTCTGGCCTGCCTTGCTCTGGCCAGTTTACTTCCCTACTCTGGGCTTTAGTTTCTCCCTAAGGTTAAAGGAGAGATTGAGCTTCTGGCTCCAGAAGGGTGACAAGATGGTGAGAATCCAGTTCTCAGGAGGGGCACAGGTAACCAGCCAAGAAGGCTACAATATGCAAATGAATAGACTGTGGTTTTCCTTCTGGTTGGTTGAAAACGGCCCTGATGTCACAATGCATAGGTCTCCTTCACTGCAAAGCTCCAGTCAAAACGATTCACTCACCCACTGGGAAGAGGCTATGGAGCCACTCTATCAAGCCGGGTCCATTCTCATGAAGGTGAATACCTTACAAGGGAAGAAAATGGTGGAGAGTGGCCTCCAGTCTGGAGACTTTTCCCTGCCCCAGACATGGCCTTCCTGCCTCCCACCGACGCCTGACTTGGAGATCCTGCAGCAGAAGATGGCCGGGCTGCAACGGGAGCTGGAGGACTTCAAGAAGGAGGCGCTGCAGGCCATCCATTACTTGGAAGACGCCTTCTGTGAGATGAACGGGGTCCTGGCGCAGCAGGAAGAGCAGGCTGCCCGTGTGAAGCAACGGCTGCGCGAGGAGGAGGACCGGGGCATCGTGCGCAACAAGGTGCTCACCTTCCTGCTGCCGCGTGAGAAGCAGCTCCGTGTGCACTGCCAGCGGCTAGAGTACCTTCTTCTATGCCAGAGCCGCGAGGCGCTGGGGGGCCCCAAGAAGATCCAGGCCAACTGAAGCGCCTGAGCTTCACCCACAGAGCACCCAGTGCGAGATATTTTTAAATGTTAAGACACACCCAAGTCCCTACTCTTTTGAGTGCTCCCTTCACCCATTTCCATTGCTGTGCTTCGTCGCAAATAACAGCGGATTGAGAGGCCAAAATGTTCTTTCTGTGAACCTTCTTTAATCCGGAGTCCTCAGGCAAGGAGGCATCCCAACACTAAGCATTTACATTTTCATCTTTTTTTTTTGTTCTTCCTGTAATGGTGATGTTGCTCAAATGTATAACATGGTTTTATGTTTGTTTCGTTTTTTAAGTGTTCTTAATTCGATTGTATTGAACAGAAATTTTAATGACTTGGGGCTCATGTTACTTATATGGGATCTACTAACATAGGTCGGGTGGTTTGCCTACTCGCTGGATGGTTGCACGTTGCTCTCCTCTCACAGTTCTTATTCTTGCTTTAAGTCCCGGTGTGGTGCTGTCGGACAAGCACTAACTTGGTAATCATAAGGTCGGTAGTTCAAACCCACCGCTGCTCCTTGGAAATCCTATGCAGGATTGCTGTGAGTTGAAACTGTCTCCACAGCACTTAACAACAACATCCTTGCTTAATTTAGGCTTTTCTGTCATTAGATGCCATATCTTGCTCTTCTGTGCTGCCTTTCCCCACTTCTGCATCTCCTCCACTTAGTCCATAGACTGGAAAACCAGGCTGATGGAGTGTCTTAAGATTTCAATTAGATGTTGCTGTTGTTACGTGCGGTTGAGTCAGTTCCAACCCAAAGCAACCCAGTACAGGGTTTCCGAGGAGCAGCTGGTGAGTTGGAACCACCGAACTTGAGGTTCAAACCAACCGTGATGTCTAGTGCATTATCCCACAGCACCACACCAAGACTCCTCAAGGAAGCTATATATAGAGTTGATGCTGTGACACTGTGAAGGTAGGACTATAAAGTAGTTGAACAGCTTTTCCTGCTTGACCTATGCCTGTAGTTGCTACTGCACTGGTCTTTTATCAGATGATTTACAGGCATCATTTCATCTGCTCTCAGGCACCTTTGGAGGTAAGGGTTGCCTCCCCATGGCACGCTAAGTCCTTTCCTCAAGGTCTCCATCCTAGGAAGTGGCAGGACTGTGGTTCAAACCCATGTCATTGGCGCCTGACCTGTGCCCACTTGCCCCACCATGCTGCTACCCATACTGATTTTGGAGGCAGACATGAACCTGGACCAGGCATCTTGTTGGAGGGCTGGGATCATCTCATAGGGGTCCTACACTGCACCTTTTACCTCCAATGCACCTCTCTGTTTTACAGACTCATCCAACCTGTCTCTGGCCCCCCAAACACTGCCATGCAGCAGGAATCCCCTATAAGCCAGGTATTGAGGGGCCTGGAAAACAGAGCTGGCATCTGAACAGAATCTGTTTTCCCAGCTTGTACTCACAACCTTTTCAATGTCCTGTGCTCTATTTCAGTTCATCTTTCTCCCTTTCCTTTGATAGAATCTCCCCACACAAGATTTGAACATCTGTAATCCCCAAGCTGAACTTGACAAAAGGACTCTGATTCACCAGTCAGTGCAATAGTGCCCACTCACCTACTCTAACTTTAGGTAGTTTACACTTCAAAGGATTTAGCTATATGGTAATAATGACAATGTTAATATTATTACTACTAATTATTGTTGTTAAGTGCTGTCTAGTCGGTTCCAACTGTGTAGAGTTTTCAAGGAGCAGCTGGTGAGGTTGAACTGCCAATCTTGTGGTTTAAATAGACATTATAATCGAGTGTTTATCATACAGCGCCATACCAGGACTCACTAATAATAGTAGCTAATATTTACTGAAAATACAGGCACCATGGTTGGCCCTTTACATACACTTAATCCTTACAAAACCCTTTCAAGATACGTACTATTTTAATCTTCACTTTTAAGAGTTTTTTGGAAGCCAAAGGAGGCTAAGTAACTTGCCTAAGATTTGAACTAAAAAATGTCTGCCTCTTAACCACAGTGTAATATTTTTGGAAGCATTATGAATAGCTGTTTAATATTTCTTGAGTTGATAAAATATAAGAGTACTGAACTTGGTAAAGTAAGCTCTGGTAGAAAAGAGTGTTTAATAGGGGAGATTCCTATACCCCCAAACCTTGTAGGGAAGGTACATTTACAAATGTATCTGAGAAAATGAACTTGATTGGCCAACTATAAGAAGAGCTTAAAAAATCAGCAGCTTCATGAAGTGGGGAAGAGGGATATGGAAAAGGATTTGAGTCAACTGCAAGTTCAGCATGTAATGCAACTGCCCAAGAAAGAGTGTTTGTGGGAATTCCAAAACCAGGTTGAGAGGTGATGCCTATGACTGGTACCCATCAGATCACATCTGGAGTCAGCTGTGTCTACTTCTGGCTTGATATTTTAAGAGGGTTCTAGATAACCTGGAGTGTGGCCAGAGGATGGAGACATGCCAGGTAACCCCAAGGAGGGAGACATGATTGAAAGAGCCGGGGGTCTTGGCAAGAGGCATTTTGAGGAGAGACATGGTTATGGTCTTCCAAACATTGGAAGGGCTAATTGTGTTTTAGGAGGAGGCTAATAAAAGTCATCCCTCTTCACCCTGTCTGTGTTAGGAACTAGTTGAGTGACACACACAGGATCCAGGCAGATGGAAACAAAACATCATCTTTATTTCTGGTAAATATGCCTGAAACGATGGCTCAGGATCTGCTGGCCGCACAGGCTTGCTAAGCTCTTGTGAATCTGACGCAGTCTCCAGACACAAGTGGGGTTGTGGCTGCAAAACCTATGGAGTGGAGGACCAGAGCAGAAGTCTCTCTGTAGAGGACAGCTCTGGACAAAGGAGGGGTTGAGCTAGAGCTGATCTTTCTCCCAAGTCCACCAATCAGAAAGCATTTCCCTTTCCTGAGGAGAAGTGAAGGAAAGGAGAGTCTAGGAATGCTATTTGAGTGGAGGGCCCTCCATAATGAAACCAGAGGAATGGGACATAAAGGTTCCCCTCAACAATGAGGAAGAATGTATGAGTCCAGAGGTAATACCAGTGACAAAGAATGGATGCCAGAGGGAGGGAGGTTTCAGCCTTGAGGAAGAAACAAAAGTAAACATTGGTCGCTGACGTGTGTGTCTGTGCAGCAAAGGGTTGACCAGCAGCTCTTGGGTGTTGAAAGGCTACACATGCCAAAGAAAAGTCTGGTTGTTGATTGGCTGCTGGGAGACCCTGCCTGATTAGAGTGTCTGCTTACCTGCTGCCTTGGGTCATACCAGGTGGTTAATGCTCACAATGTGGGAGTTTATGCCAACGTGTGTGTACGCATGGCTGCGAGAAGAGGGGCTTTGGGTTTGGGAAATTGGTGAGAGAAGGTCTCAGGATTCTCTAGAGAAATAAAACCAATGATATGCACACAAATGTGTGTGTGTGTGCAGTACATGTGTGTGTATAGAACTATGTGTGTCTGTATTTTGGTGGTGTGTGCTGTTGAGTCGGTTCTGACTCACAGTGACCCTTTATAGGGTTTCTGAGAGTGGCTGGTGGGTTTGAACTGCTCATCTTTTGAGCACCAATCCAGTATTGTGTGTATATGTATATATATATATATGTTGTTGTTAAGTACCATTGAGTCGGTTCCAACCCATAGTGACCCTGAACAAGGTTTCCAAGGCTGTAAATCTTTATGGGAGCAGAAATCCTCATCTTTCTCCCGCGGAGCAGCTGGTAGTTTTGAACTGCTGACCTTGCAGTTTGCAGCCTGATTCGTAACCACTACGCTACCAGATATATATATTTTTTCCTGGAACTCTGGTAGCACTGAACTGCTAACCCAAAGATCAGTGGTTCAAACTCACTAGTCGCTTGCAAAACCTTATGCATCTGATAGAGTGGTACAGAGACAAAGAGAAAGTAAGAAAGATTCACTTCAAGAAACTGAAGATTCACTTCAACCAACTTCCATAGAGTTGGTTCTAACTCATAATGACACTTTATAGGGGTTCTGAGGTTTTAATTTTCATGGGAGCAGAAAGCCTCATCATACTCCCATGGAGCAGCTGGTGGACACAAACCATGGATCTTGTGGTTTGCAGAACTAGCAAGTCCAAAATCCATAGGTCAGGCAGCAGGCTCACTCCTGCAGGTTTGAATCCCAAGATCCAAGCGATGGAAAGAGTGCAGAATGAAGAAATTGCTGCAAAAATATCTATAGTCTGGAGGCACAACCCACTGCAAGAAAACTCCCTTATATTACATTTGTTTACAGATAGTCCTTGATTTACAATGGGGTTCCATTCAGAGGACTGTTGTAAGCTGGTTCAGATATATGTTAAATACCTCATTTTTTCATTATTATTGCCTTTTTATTATCAGTAGCTTTACAAATCCAGCAGAATTCCCTCCAAGAAGCAGTGTGATTTTTCCTTTAAATGCTGTCTTAAGCTAGGTTCTCTAGAGAAGCAAAACCAATGAAACATGTATATGCAGAAAGGAAGAAGGGAGGGAGGGAGAGAGAGATTTATCTCAAGGAAATGGCTCAGACAGTTGAGAGGTCCATGGGTCCAGATGACAGACTGTTGGTCACAGGCTGCAGAGGTGGACAGACCCTAAGAACTGGAGATCAGATGATGATGAGCCAGATGTAGGATCCAGAACAAGCAAACAAGTCTCGCCAGATGTTCATATATAGTGGATGCAGGCCACGCTGCCAAGAAAAATCCCCTTACACCTGATAGGCTGGTCACATCATGGGGAAGATTACATCATTACAAACCACTGAACATCATCATGACCTAGCCAAGTTGACACAAAACCATCACAAATGCCTTGAAACCTGGCATTGACTTCACCTCTTTGTGAATATATGTCCGTTTTGGCAGCTTTTTTCCTTAACAAGCCTGTTTCACCATGTTGAAAATCACCTCTAGTAGATATTCTTAATCTTGTGTTATCTTGTTCAGCTCATCCTTGAATTTTTCAGCAGCTCAACGTCGAAGCTTGTCGTTCC